TGTTGCCTCTCCTAGCAGGTGCCTCACAACCTCTGTCTCCCCTTCCCAGGTGTTGCTGGCCCTGAAGTGCCCACAGCAAAACGAGTGGGTCTGCAGCAGAGTGGTGCTGGAGGAGTTGCCACACCACAGGTAGGATGTGTGTGGGAGGTGGAGGGCAACCCCCAAGGGTCTCCTCAGAGGTCCCAGCTCCTCCCTTTCCCTCTTCCCAGGTGACAGAGGGGGACATGCAGCACGGAGAGGAGCCAGTGCCCCCTTCCACCACAGTGCCGCCCCCCAGAATCCCAGCCAGCAGCTCCACAGGGGATGGGTTGAGGGGCAGGGCAACATCCTCGCCAGCCCCCCGGGCTGAGCCACAGCGAGCACAGGGTGGGGACGTGCTCAGCTCAGGGAAGCCGATCGTGGTGGAGAAGAAGAGCTACACAGAAGCAAAAAATGGTGGAGCGCAGCAGGGCACGCGGCCACCGGACGAGTATGGCTACATCATCACAGACCAGAAGTGAGAGACGGGTTGGGTGAGAGGGTGCATGTGTGGACAGTCTGCATCCCCCTCACACGCACCAGCTGTCCACATGTTCAGCTGAGCCTGTTTGGGTCTCTGGTAGGGTGAGGTCTCTGGTGGGATAAGCTCCCCCATCCCCTTTCCACCCACAGTCTTTGTCCCACCCCAAACCTTCCTCTCTCAGCCCACACGAAGGCCAGAACTTGCTGCAGGACGGGAGGCTGGGACAGGGTCAGCCAAGTGTGTCTGCACAACTGCTTCTGTGCATGCTCACGCTCAACAGGGGGTCACCTCAGCCCCATCACCACACATCCCCGTGCTCTTACCTCCTGCCCGCCCTGACACCCTGCAACTCTCGCTGCATGTGTAGGACTCCCTAAGCCTACCAGTCTCTCTTCCCCAGCCACGGGGAGTGTGGGCTCTCCCCTCACCCCCAGTGCCCACTCCTCACCCTGCCACTGTCTCTGCAGGCCCCTGGGGCTGGCTGCTGGCGTGCAGCTGCTGGAGCTCCTCGCCAAGCACCTCCACCTCTCCACAGCCAGCTTCATCAACATCAGGTGAGGGCAGCGCGGCCATGGCGTACTGCTGTGACAGCTCTGGCCATGTGCAGCCACCCCATGTTGGGGGGCCAGGGAGGGGCCAAGCTATGGTGAGGATGAGGGGGGCTGTGCTTCCCGGTTTCACCCTGTGTCCCCCTGTCCCTGGCAGCGTCGTGGGTCCTGCGCTCACCTTCCGCATCCGACAGAACCCCAAGAACTTCTCTCTGGCAGGTGTGGCCAGACAGGCCGGGG